ACCCCCCACTAGGCCAAGGTGATCAAGGCTCTGTCCAGCCTGGCCTTGAACACTGCCAGGGATGGAGCTTTTGTACCACTCTCACAGTAAAGAACTTGTATCTAATCTGAATCTCTCCTGTTTAAGTTTTAACCCATTACCCCTTGTCCTGTCACTACAGTCCCTAATGAAGAATCCCTCTTCAGCATCCGCGTAGATGCCTTCAGATACTGGAAGACTGCTATGAGGTCTCCACGCAGCCTTCTCTTGTCCAGGGTGAACAGCCCCAACTTTCTCAGCCTATCTTCATACAGGAGGTGCTCCAGACCCCTGATCATCCTTGTGGCCTTGTTCTGGACTTGTTCCAACAGGTCCCTGTCCTTTTCATGTTGAGGCCACCAGAACTGCACACAGTACTCCACATGGGGTCTCATGGGAGCAGAGTACAGATGTCTACATGTATTTCAACAGGACTGTCTTATATGTAGGTTTGTTTCCTTAATAAAGGAGAAGAGGGAAAAAAATGGAGCAGCTTTCACTGTTCACAAAGAAATTTATCAGTGATGAACCTCAACATTTATCCTTCTCTCTATTCTTTAAAAGCAAAACACTTTTGCACAAGATCCTAGAAAGAAAGAAGTGAATCTGTCCCTATATGTTGGTTTATTTAACCTGTTTATGTTAACAGTTACAGTCTCAGCAGCCCCTTGTCACTCTTGGCCTGGTGTGCTCCCCCTGGGGCAGGCTGCACGCACCTTTTGGCTACCCCCTCTCACTTGCAAAAGGAAGCTGGTGCTGCTAGGCTTGTGTTAAATACACGTGCCAAGGATATTTTTTTTTTTTTGTACATTTTTAGTTTTTGCTCTTTTTGGTTTGTCACTACGTTATTACTACTAAATGAGGTTAGGGAAGGGACCAAGGGCCTGCAGGCCTCAGCGTGGCCCCCTCCCCGCCTCCAGGGGGCGCCGCCAAGGGCGCAGCGGCCTGCCGTTGCCCCGTGACCAGGCGCGGCCCTACCCTAGCGGCCTCCCGGCTTGCCGCCCGCCACCTTCATACTGTCTGCGGCCATGCTGGCCTACCGCGGGCTGCCCCTGTTCACCGCAGTGCGGTGGGCAGCGCCCGACCTCCTTGCCTCCTTCCACTCCTCCGCTCCGCGCCTCCTCCCTGCCCGCGTCGCTGTGGTGAGTAGGACGAGGAGGAGGCCCCGGCGGCCTTGGGCTGGGGGAGGGGGGTGAAGCGGGGCAGCACAGCAGCTCCGAGCAGAAAGGGTTAGTTTTGGTTTTGTTTTCCTGACTGTCACCATGCACCCTCAGCCCCGTGCCGTCGGGAGGGCGGTTCTGCCGCTGGGCTCGCTGCGGCGGTGGGATTGGTGCGGCTGGGAGGGTATGGCGTGGCGTCGGGCCGAGGAACGACTCGCCTGGTGGCAGCGACAGCTTGGAAAGCCTTGGGAGAAGCTGAAATCATATCCCAGAATGAAAAGTTGGAAAGGGATCTCGAGGATCTCCTGGTCCAACCTTTCTAGACAAAGCATGACCTAGACTAGATGTCCCAGCGCCCTGTCCAGCCGAATCTTAAAAGTGTCCGGTGTTGGGGAATCCACCACTTTCCTGGGAAAATCATTCCAATGTCTGATTCTTCTCATTGTGAAAAATTTTCCTCTGTGCCCAGCTGGAATCTCCCAGGAGTAACTTTTGCCCATTACCCCTCCTGTTTTCCATGTGAGTCCGTGTAAAAGAGGGAGTAGCCACCCTTTAAGCACTGAAACATGGTGATAAGTTCTCCCCTGAACCGCCTTTTCGAAACGCTGAGCAAACCCGTAAGAGGGGATGGTGCCAAAGGAAAATTTAGGCTGTAGGTAACATCCCAGGTGGAAACACAGTTTTTGAGCTCTGTCTTTGAAGCTCGAGCTTTTCATAGTCTTGACAGCATAAAATGTAAAGAAATAAGTAGGCATCACCTGCCTGAAGTCTGGGACAGAGTTAGCTCGGGAATGGGCAGAAAGCCAGTCCAGATGTCTGAAAGGTTAATTTACTAGGAATGCTGTCATTTTAGCAAATGACAGGATTTTAAAACAAATGTTCCTGTTGACACTAGTGGTATACATTTCTGACTGTGGTAGAAGACAGATTTGTCACAAGCGGGTGTTGAAATAAGAGGAGGATAGTGGTTTAGTGCTTTGGCTGCAGTGAGTTTCAAAAACACTTAAAAGGTATTGCTTACAGGAGATAACTTTAGAATAATTGCTTGTGTTTATTCAGGCTAAATTAAATGAAAGACAAAAAGTTGGAAAGTAGAAGGTGGCTCTTCAGTATTGGAGCAGTGAAATTGTAATTGGGATTAATGCAGACAGAAGAACATTAATGCATCTGACTCATTTGGCAAAGTGATAGTAGGTGTCATGCCCGTCAGAGCAGAGGACTGGGTGTTGTGATCTGAAACCCCTTTCATGTCCAGTGTTTCTAAGACAGTTTCAGTTGTGAGTTTCTGTTCATGTGTCTGTGATTAACAAATTTCAAGCTCTTGAAAACTTGAGATAAAACCAGGAGGGAAGGGAGTAAAGTTAATAAATGGATTCTTTTGAACTGGATTTTTTTCTTTCAAAACAACCAACCAAACAAAAAACCCTACAAGTGCTTATATATATACTTTCAGGGACTAGATAATTCTTTGGGTTTTTTTTTTTTTGTTTTTGTTTTGTTTTGTTCTTATAATTGCCTTTTCCCAGGTTTTTTTAATGTTTTTCTCCTTCCTTCTACTTTGTGATATACCCTCTCTACCAACACAAGGATAGCTCAATGCTTTGTGCTTTTTTATTCTCCATTGTGTATAGACAGTGTTACCATGGTAGTAAGGGAAAGTATGGCTAATGTAGAATAATTGATTAAAAGTGATTTAACTGTTGATCTCTGATGTGGATACTCAGGCAAAATACCACAGCAGGTAAAATGTTCTATACTAAGTGCACTTTTGTCCCACTTCTGTATGTATACCTAGGTGAGAACTTATCTCACAGAGATATGGACACTTCAAAAATAGATGTGTGACACTCAGAGTAGCCTGCTGTGTGCACAATAACATACCTAAGGATATCGTGTCAGTTTATTAACTCTGAGGAATAAATGCACAAGCCAGTAAATAAAGCTTAGTTATTTCTGAGACTTGTCTGTGATGGGGAGCTATAAATAGGAAATGTCAGTTCTTCAGTGTGTCACATGGTGATGCTGGTGCTAATAGCACCATGTTGACTGGTTTATTTAAGGAGCTCATTGCTAAGTTGTTTTTTGCAGGGGTTGGAGGAGGTTTTGTTGGGATTTTTTAGGTTGTGACGGTTTCTTTGTTTGTGATCTCACAAAGCTTGTGAAAGATCCTATAGGAAGTTTGGTATCTCCTGAAATTCTTGATTTTCTTACTGCAGGTCCTATCTGGTTGTGGTGTCTACGATGGCACAGAAATTCATGAAGCTTCAGCGTAAGTTGCTTTATAAAACTGTAGGCTCCAAAAACATCTCCACATTACAGAGTCTGTTGAATTTAGTTTTGCTCTCTCTGGCAATGAAAATTGCCCTGAAAGATGTATGATGAAGCTTCATGGTTTTCTCACAGCATAATTGAGACCTTAGGCCATCTTCTTGCAGTATTTGGTGATTGTCCAAAAGTGGAGCACAGCGTGTGCAATGCCAGAGCAATGAGTTTGAGAGAGACTGTCGTTCCTTCAGAAACAGAAATTAAGAGTTCCAGAATCTCTTAAGAGAGTTAAGTGAAGACTTCATTTCACAATCGAGTTTCTGTTCCTGTGGCTAAATCTAACACTTAGAATTGTTCATGCTTAAATTGTATTATTAACCCTTAGTGTTAATTGCTAAGAGATATTTCACCTAGACCTAGATTAAGTGTACACATAGGTATGTCAATTATGGGACTCTTCCATAATACCTGGGGACTTGCAATGAGAAAGGAAGTTTTTATTGTTCTGGTTGCATTTTTATTATTCTGCCTCCATAAGAGCACTGAACAAAGAAACTTGTCTCTGTCTTACCTGACCCTGCCTCCAAACTGACTTTATGTTCTACTTTGCACCTTGGTGTTACATACAAGGGTTTTGCTGCTGTGTGCTTAGTATGCTTTGGTAAGAGATGTGTTTTTCCTCTTCTTTCAAAATCAGGTGGTAGAATATTTGTGGTAAGACCAGGGGCCAGGTAAAGCCTGCCTTACTAGGTTTACAGCATGTTTTATCTCTGTTTTTATAGCATACTAGTACACCTTAGTCGTGGGGGAGCTAAGGTTCAGATGTATGCTCCAGATGTTCCTCAGATGCATGTCGTTGACCACAGTAAAGGGCAACCGGCTGAAGCTGAGTCAAGGTAAAGTCAGTGTTTAATGTGTTTTCCCTGACTGCTGTGCCCAGCACAGTGACAGCTGCACATTCTTCAGACATAGTAGCCTGTAACTGTGCTTGTAGCACTTTGCTGACAGGCTTTAGTAGCTTCAGGCTATCTGGTATTTTGACTGGAAAGAAAATACTAAATGAGCTTTCTGGGCTTGATTATGTACGGTCTCCTAATGCCTGTGTTTCCCAGTAGAAGTATATCAGAAACGTCAATTAGCTCCAGTTACTGAGTACTGCTGTTATTCTTGGTTCCTTCCCTTCCTCTTCCTCTGTCAAAACTTTCTTTATGCTCTCTTGTGCACAAATGCTTAATTCATCTCATTGTTTTATTTCTGTTTCTTCAAGGAACGTTTTAGTGGAATCTGCAAGGATTGCTCGTGGTAAAATTGCAAGTCTGGCTAAACTTACTACAGCAGACCATGATGCTGTGATATTCCCTGGTGGATTTGGAGCTGCTAAAAACTTGTGAGTGCCACCTAAACATCAGACTCCTTAACTAACTCTTCAAGATCAAGTATGACTCACACAATAAAACCAGGAAGCAATAAATGTCCTTATTTACTACATACATAACCACTACTTAGTAAGGAAAACTCCTTTCAAAGTGGTGGGAGTTGTCTTGTTCATGATTGTTTCCAGTTGTAAATCTTACTGGCATTGTCACTTTTAAAATTTTCCCAACAATGTTGGTGAGAATTGGTGAGAGTGTAGATAATGCAGAAGAAATCCTTTTCCCTGTACTCTTGTGATGATTCTTTTTTGGGCCTGACTGAGGGAAGTGAAGAGAAAACTTCAGTAGTTTTAGGTGTTCTTATTGCTATTACACCGTTTCTTCATGTCTGACTACCAAGAAGTCCCCTCTTGCATTACTAACGATAAAACAGCTAGCTCAAAATAAAAAGAGAAAAAAAAGAAGTGTTAGCTGTGGGGAATACTGATTATCTTGTGATTGACCTGCCATTTTGTTGGCTTTGAGAAACCTGAATGTTATTCCCCTTTTCTTTGTATGTATTTTTTTCTGTGAAAACATTATTGTTCCACTTCTCAGTAATCCTAGAAAGCTGATTTGATAATTCTTATTCCTAGGTTCTTATATCAAGTAAGGAACTTCCTGACATACCAAAGCCTTAGAAGTGAGTCAGTTTGGCTAAAGCATTGACAATGAACTGCAGGCTTTTTCAGCCACCTTTTAGAAGCTATTAAACTTGTGATGACCCTTGAGAGGTAGTCTAGGGGCAGATGGGCAGACATCACTAGTTGCAGGTTTATATTGAGGTACATATAAAGTTTCTTCTTGTGGCAGATCTACCTTTGCTGTTGATGGGAAAGATTGCAAGGTGAACAGAGAAGTTGAACGTGTCTTGAAAGACTTCCACAAAGCAGGCAAACCTATTGGGTATGTATATTAGTTGGAGGGGCATTTATCTGGTTATGTGAGCATGGAGACAACATCTGTTTTGCTGAAATGTGCAGCCATTACTGTTGGAACTAGAAAAAGCATCTTCCTTTTTGTATCAGATGTAGCTTATTTTTTTTAAATGTGTTTTTCAAGATGCATGTGTGAGTAGGTGTATGTCAAAGAAGCTAGAAAATGCTGAGTGAAAGTTGCCTTTTGATGTCATTCAGATTTGTAAGACCATGTCCATTTGAATCTTTTCAATTATGACTGAGTTTTGAAAGAGTCATTGTAGAATCACTCCTATAATTCCTTTTGTTGCAGTCTTTGCTGCATTTCACCAGTGTTGGCAGCAAAGGTTCTCTCTGGTGCTGAAGTAACTGTGGGCCATGAAGAAGAGGAAGGTGGCAAGTGGCCTTATGCTGGGACTGCAGGAGCTATTAAAGAACTGGGAGGAAAGCATTATGTGAAAGAAGTAACTATATCCTTTCCTGTTAATTGCCATGTTGAGAGACACTTTAGTAATGTGTCGTTACAGTAATGGATGCATGCAGGATCTGTGCGTTTCCACTTAACGGTTTAGTGGGAATGTACAGTGTATAGCAGATAGCATGCAGTGTAGCAGTCTGTAGTAGCCTAATGCTATAATCAAACTGTACTCAGAGACATTTTATTACAGTCAGTAAATTTTGTAGGTTTTCTTGTGTTTCTGAGCGTTCTTGCGAGTGCTCATGCAGTGTTTGTATTTCTGGCAAAAATAGCTTCTAGTATCTTGGACTACAAGTTGCAGCTGTCTTTACAGCTGGGCAGTATGATGTATTTTTATGTGATTTTTTTATAGGATAGTGGAGTTGCAAGTTTTTTTGTCCATGATAGTTTATTTTGCAGACAGCTTCTGCAAGTGAGACATAGGCTGTGTTTTCCTTAACTCCTTTTTACGAAGCTCATGTGGATATGAAAAACAAGGTGGTGACTACCCCAGCATTTATGTGTGAAACAGAATTACATCATATCTTTGATGGCATTGGAGCCATGGTCAAGAATGTGCTAAAATTAACTGGCAAATAAAATAAAAAAAAATCAGAAATGTTTTAAATTTAGGATATAGTATCAAATATAATATGGACCAATGGAAACATTTTCACCTGCTTGTCCTTTTCACAGTCCAGTGAATCCTGATACAAAGCTAATTGATCCCCAGCTGCAGAGCTTTCCCTGCACTTCTGTGAGAGGAGCCTGCAGAATGGCTTACGAAGTACAAGCAGTCTGGCCTGAGATACGGAGCGCTTTCTCAAGTTTTTCCAGCTGAAGAGAGTTGTGCAGATGTATTCTGAAACCAGTCCTCCCAGTGCACCAGTGCCAAATCATCTCTATGGGGACAAAAAGAGACTAAAGGCCCTTTCAGAAGCCAAGGGCAGATGTATTATAAGGGCTATAGCAGGTACAGTGGCAATGTATCTAGTGCAAGAAGAATGGGAGTAGAGAGGAATTAGTGTGTGGTTCAAGATCTGTGAGCTCAGGGCTGTATCTGTGAGCAGAAAGCCTGGATCAGCTGTCAGGGGAATAGACATCTCCCACATCTTAATTTAGCATGGTATTAATTAAAAGATTGTTTCATTTTTACATTTCAAATAATCCTGTTTCCACAAAGGAGCCATTCTGAGTATCAGTCAGCAGCAGGCTACATCTTAACTGCCACAACACTAGCACTTTGAAAAACTCATCCATTGGCCCATTATCACTAAAAAAGTCTTGAAAGGAAGGAGAAAATATCCGCTGATGTGACGCACAATTTTTAAGGATAATAACCATGTAAAAGTAGTTTATGATTAGTAGTGGATGGAAAAAACAAGTCTCAAATTATCCCCGCTCTCCCTGCTTTAGGGTAATAAAGCTTTCTCCAAAGAAACATTGTTGAATGTATGGAATAATGATGTATAAATAAATTAACTTCTGCCTTTATTTCATCCTTGTCCCTTCACTTTTGTTGACAGCTGTCTTTGACAATTTACGCTGGTTGATACATTCTAGCAGGTTTTCTGCTTTTCAGGTTTCTTCAGGTCTTTGGGCCACTTTTCCCATATAGAATTCAGCAGTCTGTTTCCCCTTTTCCAAGATACTTGTCACCGTTTGATTCAGCAGGAAGTAACATTTCTCAAATTAAAACAAGGAAGGAAAATGACACCCCTTACCTTGTATTAAAGTTCCTCTTGCATGACAGACATGCCAAAGAGAACCCATATTTTTAAGACAGAATTGTATGCTACATAAATGAGATCTACAAGCATTAGGTTGGTTTAGGGTATGGTAAATACAATATGTGGCTGAAGACTTGCTAGGGACATGGAACAACATAAGAAAGCATCACAGAACTGAGATGGTATTGAAATCCCTGGAGTAGATGGAGAGCAGCTCCTCCAGAGTGCCTGAAATACTTTTCAAGGTAGATACAAAAAGAGAGCTAGCCATAAGGTGTTTGTTGTCAGCACCAGAACCTTGGGTGTTTAGTGGGGACAGGACAAACATGTGCACTGGGGAAATAAAAGGCAAAATTTTATTTTCTGAAGTAATCACATTTTAGTGCATCTTTTTACTCTTCTGTTTTTCCATCATTCAGGGATAATTTTTTTAAGGGAGAAAGCATGCACTGATATTACCTTTCATTTCGTTTTATTCTCTTTAATTTCACAGTAATGTGCCGAGTACTGACCTTTGATACATACATTTTATTTTTTTAAGTAATAGAAGATTGTTTAGCTTTGGTGGAAGATGTAAGATTGTCATCTTGGCTTCCAGCCACTGTAAATTTGGAGGGAAATTCCATGTACTCTTAGCAATTAATAGAGACATTTGTCTGCCAAGCTGGGTTTTTTCTTTCCTTCCATAGGGCTGTTTGGAGGGGTTTGCTAGGTTCAGCCACATGGATAGAAGTTTATGATTAATTTGTTTTGTTAAACACTGTTACAGAAATAAGTGAAAGAATGTGTATTCCCCAAGCCTCCACAAGGAGGCATGCAGTATCTGGTTTATGGATCCTCCAGTTTCTATCTTCAGAAAGGATGTAACAAATTTGTCCTACTAAAAGGGAGTGGTAAGAATTGCCCCTCCTGTGTGTGTCTTTTCTAGTGCTGTGATAGGGTTAACTTCTCGAGTAAGTTGTTACCTGTCAGTTGTATTTCTGCCTCCCATTTTGCCCTCTTTAATGCACACGCACAAAAATCATGTTCCAGAATGTTTCTCTGCCAGTTGTTGGAGTGTTCACAAAAGTGACAGCAGTACTTTTTTCTTCTAAAAACAGAAATGAGAGTTAGGATTGAGATGCACTTTTCATTCTCACCCTTCAGTTTGTGGCTACAATAGAATTACGTTTTGGGTAAGATGCCAGCATAGGACACTTCCGCGAACGATGCTCTGGGCAGGTTTTCGCTTACCCAGGCACAGTATTGCAGCTGGTTTTTGTATCCAGGCACAATACTCCAGCTGTTGTTTTGTGTGCAGCATTGTGATGTCAACATGTAGATGCATAGAGGAAATCAAACAAATACTGCTTCTTACTCGTTCAACAAAAACCATTAGGAAATCCAGTTCCATCACAATGAATGCATTTGTCTCACTGTCTTGCGAAGACTTGTTTCTTTATGACAGTGACTTGTTATTTATCCCCCTGAAAGTATAATATTGAATATACTTGCATTAAGCTCTAAAGCCTTCCTGTGATATAATTATCAGTGAAAAATGAGGAAAAGTGTAGTATAAAGTCATAAAATTACACAATGTGGTTGGGGAAAGATGTGCGGGTTTTGCTTTTTTTGTTGTTTTGGGGGGGTGGGGGGGGTGCTTGCTTGTTTGTTTGTTTTAAACAATAATGCTATTACAGCCAAGGTGACCTAAACCCAAGGTTTGTAGGATGGGACTTTTGTCAGGCCAAGAAATACTCCTGTAAGGAAACACACTGTTTCTTGCAGGGTCTGTGTGTTTGCAAGCTAGCAGGATCTTATGTGTGTGTGAATACATATATATTTTTTATATTTCAGAGTGGAAATTTAGATAATCCTCCATCTGCAAATAACTGAGTAGCCTGCATTCCAGGGCTTGAGTCTTTTGTTTGAGCTGGTTTTATTTTTTCTTCCCATGGCTTGAATTAGCTGAAGGGAGCTTGCTTGTTGTATGGGTCAGCCTTAACCCTCAGAAAAACACTTAAGGAACTGCTATCTGGCTATCTTTTCCAAGCTGATTTCAGTGGTGGCCAGCATCTCTGCAGAAAGAGATAGATAGAGAGGGGAAGAGAAGGGTCTAAAATTGGACAATCTCAGAAGCTGAAACAGAAATTGCAATGATGATTGCATTACAAATAGCAACATGATTTTGTGCCGCATAAAAATAGTCACCTTCCATGCTTACTTTCAACATGTTTCAGTAGCCTTTGTTCAACTGCTGAACATCATGCTTTGTGAATGACTTCCCTCAGGCTTAGCTGAAACAGCAGTGAAAATTCTGCATCAAAGGTATTACATTCATTTCTCACTGAAGACCTTTTTGGGCCATTTCTCCCACGCTATATGGAACTGAAAGGAGCTCAGTGGAAAGCGTTAACCAGTTAAAATGGCCTCACTTTAAGCATAGAAAAACTACAGGAAGAGCAAATAAATTCATTTTTGTCTCTTAGCAGTGTTACTGTCAAACATAAAAAAAAAACCAAATTTGCTTTTACAGCCATTCTTTTGCAAGAATAATGTACAAGGATCTCTTAATTTCTTTAATGTAGCAGATTATCAGCCTATGAGCTTGCCATATGAAGTATGTAGTTGTGGGCTACCAAGATACTACAAGTGACAGAAGTGGAGATCTCTCCTTAAATGTGTGAATCGTTATTGTTCTCCTTAGTTTTCAAAGCTATCCTTCTCATTCATGATGAAATTCTGGAAAACACAAGAAATATGTGCTGCTCGTGTTCTGTGCATGGGGGGAACACAACAGTGTCACCCAGGCAAGGAAGGACAAACCGAGGTCTACTGGTCATTCAAACCTTTCCTTGCAGTCCCCAAGGAAATCAGAATGGCAGTTAACTATAGTTTTGGGAAAATATAAAACCAGAGGTGTTTAAGCATCCCAAGTGCTGCTGCAAATCAGAGTAATAAAAAAGTAGTGGTGTAAACACCATTTAGAGGTCATTCAGTTTTCTTCCCCCACCCTTCTTTCCTCCTATCTTCATCTGCTGATGTGCTTATTGTGATTCATGCCAGTTTGAACAGGCAGGGAGAATCACTTCTAACGGTGAAAGAGGCAGATGACTGAAGGAATTGGGCATTCCTGATAACACCAGTCAGCACAGTGCCTGCTCTTAAAACATATGACTGAGCTGTATGTAAACATATGACTCCCTCTCTGCAGTACTGAGGCTGTGTCCTAGACCTGCATGCCTGCATAAAGATATTTAATTATTCATTAGCTTGCCCAATAAATGCAGCTTTATAGTCACACAGCTTGCACTTGTGAGCGGAGGTGCTCACGTTGTTCATGTGCCTCAACACCTTTTGAAAAGTGGAGGGCTGCTTAAATGGCTGTTAGATTTTAGGAGTCATGGGCTTTGAGATGAGGGCAAGCAGTTCAGAGTTTTGGGACTAACAGGCCTGTACAGATACCACCTTTTGGATTTTCTGATTGCATGGGGAGCCTAGCTAACTGTAGGAACAACTGGAATACAAATTAAGAACTCTTACAGACCAGACGATTGCTCTCTTCAGGGTTTTGTTTGTTTAAGCTTTAATTTTAAATCAACTTTTGTTTTGAAAAATACATGGAATCTGATACAAAGATTTGGAAGGTAGGATGCAAAAAGACAATCACAGTATGTACAATTCATATATTAAAATCTTTATATGAAGTGGGACCCCAACTGTTACACTAAGGTTCTGTGTACGCAGAGTAGTCTAAGTGCCAGCTGAGCATCACTGCAGCAGCAGCTCAGGCTGTGCATGGGATTATGTCCCTTTTCCCCACTGTGAGGAAAGAGCACTTTGTTAAGAAAGTCACAGGTAACCATCTCCTTTACCTCAATGGATACCACTTAAAGCTCTATTCTGTTCCCTTCCTTACAAAACAATCCTGTCTTTCTGTGGGAAAGAGGGTGGAATTGTTCCAAATCAAAACGACTTTATGTGCATCCTTATGAGTCAGCCACTTCCCCTGGCTTGAGGGCCCAGCCAGAAGGAGCGCCTTGCAGTCACCCCTGTTCACCAGCCTGGGTGAGTAGTTCTCCGGATGCTTCTCAGTTCTGCAATAGCGTGGGTGCAGCAGCTGTAGCATGAAACAGAACTTCTGGACTTTCTTGATACTGCTGGTATTCAGGATCCTTTCAATCTTAGGTTTACACAGGACATCTGTGCTACCTGAATCAAACATTTCCAGAAGTAAATCCATTTAATTTGCATAGGTATCAGTTACAATTATTCTGACCAGTTTTTCTTCAAAGGTACTGCTTTTAAAGATGTAACATTATCACAGTACCAATTTCTTTTCGCACAGTTCTACCTTAAGAATCCATCTTTTGCACAATGATCACATTTATCTTGCTGTGTTTCATGACAGAAAGAGGAAATACAGAATTAAATCTTTTTTGCTTTTGGCTTATTTAGAAGTGGATTTTGTAATAACGTATCACTTCCTCTATGTTGATGTTTTATGAACTTCCATCATCATTCTCAGTCACCTTCACCCTTCAGCTAAAGAAATACTACATTTATTGTGGAATAAAAAGTTGTTACTGATAGCCCATGATACTTAGGAGTAAAAATAGAAGCTGAAGTTTCACATGCTCAAGTTGCACAAGATTTGTGTCCTTACATTTCAGAAAACAAGAGCAGCTTCCTACTTCCAGTTTTTATCTGACACAGAGGGTAATTACCTTTCTCCTCCCTACAATTCTCTTGAAGGACAGCAGATAAGATCTTAGGCAAAAGATCTCAGGCAAAAGATCTCACTAGGGTCAATTATGATGTGACTGTAGTTTTATGAGTCTTTTATGCTGTCATTGAAACAAAACCACAAAATCCATATGTTCATACTGGCAGTACTAAAACTGGGCTCCAAGAAAGAAATGAAAACAAGACTTGCCACCTCAGAGTTTTGCTGCCTTTGATTTTGTGGAACATCAAAATGCAGGATCTAAACACCTAGTGCTAGGTCTGTTTTCAGCTAAGGTGTTTCTTTCATGTGGCTCTGGAACAGTTGTCACACTGTTCTGTCTACACAGCTGTTCTGTCCAATGAGGTCCTCTGGTGAGGAGAACTTCCCAAAGAGAAGGTTGGCTTCCCCAGTTATATGTGCCAAACTCCCAGTGGGACCAGGAGGTAGAAAGAGAGGGGAAGCATTGCCAGACATGGTGCATCACTGGGGCTTCTGGAGGAAATCTGTCTGTGACCTGAAAAATTAAAAAAGAGAAAGGCCACATGTAACTGGTGATTTGACAAGAAACATATTTGAAGATATAGTTTACATTAATGCATTGATGGAAGATTGTTGTAAAACCATATGGATTTTGGCTCTTTCAGAATGCTCCTTTTCAAGTCTGCGAATGTATACCATCCAGACAAAAGGCGAAGACACTCAGCAACATTGAACACAACTTCCTTTTCTGGATGACCAAGAACACTTGTTTAAAATCCTGACAGAACAAGAACTAAAAGAGTATAAAATACATTATCATTCTACCTACTTGGGGCCTGAGGTAGGTGTTGTGATTAAGAGTCTATAAATAATGGTAATAAGTAGTAAAAAGTCTAGGCCACAGATGCTTAGGTGATACCAGCACTGAGTACCACTATTAGTATGTAAGCCACAACGTGGACACAAGGCACAGGCTGGCTTTGGCACAGATGGTACTTGCAACCTGTGCTGAATGTGGTACACAGGTAAAGAAAGATTCTGAACCCCCAGCTTAAACAGTAAATTCTCTAAGAGTTTAGGTCCAAGTGCTCTGGGAAGATCAGGCTGTATATTGTTTTCTATACCAATTCTTACGCTGTTCCTATTGCTGTGGTATCAGCTTTCAGTATGTTGCTGCAGTTAATTTATGGCTAGTAGGGGTGCTTCCTTCCCCTCTTCCTAGAAGCAGTATGCTGTATTAACGTGTAAAGAGCAAGTAAACACTGGGTAATCTTCAGTAATGCTTTGAAACAAATGTAGGATTATAGCAAGTCTCTTGGCCTCTTGTGACCTTTTCCAGGCTCAGGCACTTCCATTAAAACAAGTTTTGATTGACCCAGAAAGAGTCTCACAAGACACTAAGAGTGACAGTAAAATTAAGCTTTTAAAAATAATTAGGAAAAACAATCCATCAAACAAACATAAATGAAGCAGAGGTGAAACAGATCAAACCTGTTTCTGTTTTATATAAAAATAATAAATACCTCCTGATCTGGTTATGATGACTGCAAAGTGTAAGAATTATTTCTGCATACAGTGCCTTTGTTCTCAGCAAAACATTTAGCTTTTCTAAGTCCCTTCCAAAATAACAACTAATACAAAACAGATTCTTTTCATTTCTTAAGAAATTGCTGAAAGTAAAAAAAAAAAAAAAGGGAGCTGTGGCTGATGATTTTCTTTAAAAGAAGATGACAACAGGAAACATTTTTTCCTTTTTGCAAAAAGTTGCATTTCAGAAGTTAGGCTTTTGTTCTTTCCTCCATCCCCAAGCCCCTCAAAATGCAGCAGTACAGGAAACTTCATGTGTCTTACGTATGTGGTTCAGTTTGTTCTCCTGTAGCAAAGGTGAAACACTTCCTTATCCCAAACACATTTTTTTTTTTTGTGTGTGTGTGAAAATACCTTTTCATGACAGGAAATAGTTTCTATTGAGGAAAAGTTGTCAGACAGTTTTCGGCTGAGTCAAACATACATACAACCATCTCCTTTATATACAGCCTACTTCTCTTTTGATTTTGAGAAGTTTCCATTCCTACTGCATTAACTATTAATAATTTCTTATTTCTTGTGGAAGGTAACAGCTAGAGATATTCTAGCTCCTGTTCTATTTGCTTTTGTAATGTTGTAATGTGTTGCTGCGCCACTGAAGGCACATGATAGCAGCTTAAATTTAACTTTGTGGGTTTTAAAGACCTTTAAGCCAGCTAGGGGAGCTACTGCAGGTCTAAAAAGGATATTTCCTGTGATTTTTTAAGTCGTTTATTGCTCATGACGTACAGAGATGACTTTTTTCTGTGTAATCGTAAGATAAAACACTGGAACATTTCCTTAGTTTTTATTTGTGTTTATTGCTGTTTAATCTGGCAGTAATGTCATATTGTGGCTGAACTTATTGCATTAACTGTAATATAATTATTGTTATGCAGTGGATTATCTCTTTCAGCTACATTGAGTAAAATACAAGTTGCAGCTATTGATTTTTATGTGCAAAATTTTGCTGGTTTGATACCAATTTAAAGTTTTGTAGAGCTAACAGGAAAAATTTGCTTACAAGCAAGTTTTTTATGGGAGAATTTACTGACAATGGCATGTCAGAGCTGGACGGACCTTCTGCACTGCATTCCCTCGGGAACTGTTACAAATGACCTAATGTACTTAAATCTCTGTAATGATTAAACTGAGACGCTGTCATTTACACTATACCTCAGAATTACCTTTGGTGAGATCTACTTTAATTTTCCCAGAAGAGCTTGTGTGGAGCCATAAATCATTTATTTTTAGAATATTTATTATCTTATTTACCCCAAAGGATACCCCCCCCCCCAATCTCTTGATCTAGTCATTTATTCATACCAAAGTAATTTACAAAGGCCTTAATTCATAGAACTGAATGGCTTCCGTGTTGGTTTTTTACTGATTTTTACGACACCTATAATGGTGAGTAGCTTTACAGACTGATGATTGATGGCACTTCAGTATTCTTTCTGCAGTCTAGGTCTGTCTTAGTAGTGGAGATTCTTTTCCCTATCTGAGACAGCTGTATTTCGCTAGGCTCAGTAAGAGAACAAGCATCATAAGTCAATTAGACTTTCTCTATTCAGCACATTTTACCAATGGGGCAAATTCAAATTAAAGCACTGGATAATCGCTTAAGACAGTTAGCAGGTTAAGGAATATTGCCTTACCAGAGGGGGAAGGAGCCTCCTCAGGGATAGAAGGAGCTGGAAAAAAAACAACCCACAAGAATCAAAGTTACGTGTTTTGAGCCTGGGACAGGAAAAGGGGGCTGATAATTGATCTAAGGGTTAGTAATTTTTTTTTCTGAGAAAGAATATATTTGCCAGACTTATTGAATGTTTAAATATGATCACATAATTAAATCAGAGTAAAATACACCATACTGTTACCAAAAATTAGACAATGAAAAGATTTTGATTCTCCATTTTCAAAACACTTTTTTTCATTTTGAAAACTGCAAAATGTTTCACTTTGAAATTTTCTGAACAAAATTATTTTACTTCACATTTAAAAAATATTTTTCTCTTGAGAATGATGTTCATTAAAACAAAGATACCGAAGGGTTTCTATTACTTGAAACATCTTTTTCTATTTTAAGTGGAGTTAAATGTTTGTAGTTGACCAAAATTAAAGTTTTCTGTTGATCTATTCAACCAAGACACCATAAAAAACTATGATTAGTTTGATGTGCATCCCCTTTTTAAATTTTGCTTTTTCAGTCTGTCAGCTGGTCAAACCTAAAGCCCCACCATTCTGCTGGCCATGGTTGTGGGTAGTTCATCCATCTTAGCTCTGTTGTTTGGCACTATTTGAGCATGTGTTACAGTCTCACACATTTTCCTAAGGAAGAAAAATAATCATTCTTGTTGCATGTGTCCAGCATTGCCACCAGATCCTGATCTTTCAGCTATGAGGGAAAAGGTGAAGAGCAACCGTCTGCCTGATGTCAGAAAGGGTGTATGGGCTGGACTTTGGATTTAATTACCAGAGACAAAACTAATACTGCTTCACAGACCCAAGTGCAAACAATGAAATACTCTCCTGTTCCTCTGGGACCAGGTGGATCCATGACAGTACAAAGCCATAAATAACCAAATGCTTAAAAGCTGGGGAGACCTCATTATTCATTAATGTCTCCTGTGAAGGGAGCAGGAAGAGGCAGGTGGCTTGCCTTCAGGAGTCCTGCTGCTTCCATGGATATGCTGTGCTGAAGCTTAACAAAGATGCATTTATTTTCTTCCCAATTATTCTTTCAACAAAAGCAAGGAACAGAATGAAACTGAGTGAAGATCTGCTTTAAAAATTGAAGTCATCACAGATGATGGCCATACATGGATTGTCAACAAAAAATGCTGCCCCCGAGTACCTCCCACTGAACTATAAGAAAATCTTACCTGATACAATGAGTTTAACATTAGATTTCTGTGTTTTGTCGGAATGATCCCCTGTCTGTTTGTAGATGCAACTATATACAGCTGTGTCCAGTAATTTGACATTGGAGAGCTTTAAAGAAAAGTTGCCATGCTTCATCTGGTCAAAAAAAAGGCTACTTCTGCCACGGTAATTGTCATTCTGGAACTGCGGCAAATCCTGCCCATTGAGAGCAAAGTGCACTACAATGGTGTGCTGAGGATCATCAGCCTCTATCTGCCAGAACAGCATTGAACTGGAGAGGGTGAGCTTTCCAGGAGAAGTGGTGATGCAAGGCAAAACAACAGTTTCTCCAACAAACGCATGACATGTTGTGTCTGGTTGACCTGGAATAAAAACCATACAACTTCCTCAGCATGCAGCAGAGGTTTCCTAGAATTTGGCTTCATCACACTATTATTGCCTCTCTTCCTCCCTCTTCTGTGTGTGTCCTCCTGCTCCCAGCCAGGCAGAGGGCAGTAAGTGCCATGCCAGGATTGAGGGCCATGTATGCTCAATACTCAGGGAGCTCTGCAGCAGGACAGATGTTGCTGCACCGTTGCTTTCACTTCATCCATATGGGTGCTGCTTGAACTTGCCTCTTTAGCTGATGGTTTTTCTCTCAGTTTCTGGGGAGATTAGTTTTGAGATCAGGTGTATGATTTGATTCTAATTAGCCAGTCAGTTCACAAGAGGAAAAGGGGATGCAGGAAAGTGATGATAAGCACACATAAATAAGCAAGTATTGCTTTTGTAGAAAGGAAGTCTGGAAAAAGAAGCATGAAAAGGGTGTTACATCAGCATGAGAAAGATCCTAGATGAATCTGGTCTCCCTCAGCTCCTGTTGCTTGCCTGTCAGATCATGGCTTCCAATCTGTCAGTAATGCACTAGAGGCTCCTGCCTCCTTCCCCTGTGACACCTTGCAGAGGGTCTGGCAGAACAGGGCTTTTATCTGCAGGTCTGGTTTGGTGCACTCTTGCTAAGCCTGCCCTCTCATACTCTTTGGTATAGCTATTCTCCCAGTATGCCAGAAAGAAGGTAAATGACTTTTCCAAGGGAGACAGATACTTTGTATGGGTGGTGGGTGGCCTGGACAGATCTTACCAACCAATTCCAGCAGAAGCAAGAACCAGGGTTAGGGTAGCCTGCTAGTGAACAAAGGTAGGCAGGCAGGGCAGGAAGACAGATGCATCTTACTTATACACACTGTTCATTTAATAACTCTGGTACTAATTATTTTTATAAATTATTCCAAGTTAGTTGAAAGTATACTAGAACTACAAATGGGGGAATCTGACACTGTCATGTAGGACAACTTTTACTAGGTTGTGGTGTTATATTTTCTAGGGGAAGACTGCATTATGGAAGAAGAAGGGTTCTGTGAATTTATAAAGCATGGACAAGTAGGTGTTTTCAGCACAGAATGTGGGCTTAACGCTTTAACCAAACCTGTTTCATAAAAATATTGTATAAATTAAAATGCAGATTAATTAATTTGGATAGAAAACTCATTCACAGCAGGGAGCAGAACAAAAGCAGCATGAGTCTGTGACTGTGCCAAGGAGCAAAACTAAATTCACTTTGAAACAACTCAATCTCTTTTCAAGGCCAAAGTTCTGTGAAGCATAAGGGGTAAGTAATCAGACTACAGAATCACAAAATCATGAAGGTTGAAAGGGACCTCTGGAGATCATCTGGTCCACCCCCTGCCAAGGCAGGGCCACCTACAGCAGGTGACACAGGAACGTGTCCAGGTGCGTTTTGAATATCTCCAGAGAAGGTGACTCCATGACCCCCTAGGCAGCCTGTCCCAGTGCTCTGCCACCCTCAACATAAAGAAGTTATTCCTCATGTTGAGGTGAAACTTCTTGTGTTTTAGTTTATGGCCATTGCTCCTTGTCTTTGTGATAAACATATAAATGTATTGGCTTTCTCAAATCATAGGTGTGGTTGCATGGATATAACTGTACGAGATTACAATAACAGAAACAAAGCTTGCTAAAGACACAAGATTAGACAAGTTAAAGAAGGGCTGGAACTCTTGAAAAAAACTGAGTCACATAGTAAAGAATTTATAAAGGTAAAAGAAAGAAGGGGGGAGACTTGATATAAGAAAAGCTAGTGCCTGGAAAACACAGAGTTAAAGTACTTTTTAACTTAGGTTGTAGAAAGAGAACAATGTTTATGTTGTAAGTCTGTGGAATTTAGTGGCCCCACTGACCATGAGTTAATTGTTTCACACTAGTCTTCTAAAGTATCTTTAGCTTTAAAGAACAATGTTTGTGTTGTAAGTCTGTGGTGAGATAACAGGATTTAGTGGCCCCACTAAATATGAATGAGTTATTTCACACCATCCTTCTACTTATCAGTTAGTTTAGAGAGACAGCCTCCCAAACATCTGCTAGCTTGGGATACTCCTTGTCTGCTCATCCTGCAATACATTTTACAGGAAGGTCACACTGTTTTAAATCTTTGCTAGTTATCAGAAGAATTACAGACATGGCTGGTATCAGCTGGTTGTGTGATTACTGGGGGGTCCAACTGTGCCAAAGGTGAAAAGTACACTGTGAGGAAGACTGCTTACTTCATCTCGAAGACCCCTACTCACAAGAGGAAGACTGTTTACTTCATCCTCAAGACCCCTGCCCACAATCATCGGAGAGCAGTGCGCAGATGCCAAGAGGAGGGGACTTAGGATAGTAAGTTCCTGGAGCTAGTTATAATATTCCCCTCCTATACATGGGAATTATGAATATGTATGTGACTAATGCAATAGTGAAAGTATATAAACCTGTAACAAATACTAATCCCTTGCGCCTCTGGCTGCAGTCATGCGCCCAGCGCTGTTGCTTTTGCTTTACTGATTTTGTCCCTCAATAAAACCTTGTCTTGTTTAGAGGAGTGAGCTTGTATTTCACATCTTGTTGCTGGGCACCACTGAAACGAGTCTGGCACCATTCTCATGGCACCCACCTTTGTAATATTTATATGCACTAATGAGATCCCCTCTTAGTCTATTCTTCTCTAGACTAAACAGGTCAGGCTCCCACAGTCTCTCCTCACAAGACAGATGCCCCCTGATCATCCTTGTGGCCTCCTCTGGACCCTCACCAGTAGCTCCAGCAGCAGTACTGAGGAGCTCAGCACTGAACGCAGTTCTCCAGATGTGGCCTCAGCAGGGTCGAGTAAAGGCAGAGGATCACCCCCCTCGACCTCCTGGCAACACTCCTACCGATGCACCCAAGGATACTATTGTCCCTCCTGGATGCAGGGGCACACTGCCGGCTCATAGTCAACTTGCCACCCACCAATGCTGCCAGGTCCTTCTCACCTGACCTGACCATTAGGTCAGCCTCCAACCTATACTGGTACTTGGGGTTCTTCCTCCCCAGGTGCAGTACGCTACACTTGGGTGAGAGAAACAAATGTTCTCAGTCACAGCATAGTAATTCCTGTGTTCCAGGCCTGTGCATATACTGGGCTAAAGCCCAAAGAGAGTCTCAGTTCCCTTTTGCAGCCACTGACACCAGCCAGGGTTCAGCTTGTTACATACCAGGATCTCTGTTTCTATATTAATCAGTGTCTGTTTTGAGGCTTGTCTGGTGTCACATTGTATCCATCCAGACAGACATAAAAGCAGAAGGAAAAGTATAATTCAGAAAGCTAAATTGTGGACCCAAATGTCTTTGATTATATCACCAAACATCTGCTTTCCTTCAGTTTTCAGATTTTTCAGCTGAAAATCACCGTCTGCTTTTGTCCAACAATGTAAACTTTCAGCTGAAAAATCACATCCCTATGGTGATGTATCGAAAATAGTAAACCAATTGTCCTTCAGATACAGAGAACCAAGTATTTCTGGTGGTCGGTGGAAGATTTCCTCCCTTACTGCATGGAGAGCTCAGCTGTTCTCAGACTGTATCAGTTGCTGACCAGGTTTTGCTTCTCGAGAGGAACCTGAATTACAGCAATATCCAAACAGGGGTCTTATTTTATTTATAGTAAAGCTTGGCCTCCACTGTACTGTACCCTTACTGCCACAGCACATATGACTGTGCTCCCCAAGGAGACTGCTTCAGCCCTGCAATTAGTGACATACCCAGGCTCTTAGTTGTAACTGACACACCTAAAAGGGCCACCACCACCTGAAGGAGAGTGGGGAGCACCCTGAGAGCCATCCCTGAGCTGTTTGGGCCTGGGGAGCTGAGGAAGGCTGAGCTCAGCAGAGTCCTTCTGAAACAACGCCATGTCTGAAAGCAGGCTGCAGTTATGGCTGGCCATGGTTAGCTAGCCACAGCAGGGAGGTGAGGGAGCCTGAGGCTGCTGCAAGTGTTTTGAAAGCTCTGGAAGAAGTGATCCTCCCAAAGAGCTTTCTGGTGGGAGGAGTCCTGTTCACAGGATGCCCTCGGGAGAGAAAATGCTTGCATCGTGTGGTGTTGCACATGGATGAAGAAAAGATCATCCTGAAACCCACAAAACTCGTGGTTTTACTTAGAAAAATGGACAATAAGCATTTGCCTAATGACCAAAAGAGGGAGAGAGTTTATCCTATCTCTTGCTCGCAGTAATTTCTAAATTTGATACTGGTTTTAGAAGTGTATCTATTTGATTTTTGACTCTTTATTATTTTTGGGAAGATGGAGAAGAGTGGTGCTCAACATAACTCTTCCCTTCCTGTATGATACAGTGTACACTTATGATGACTATTAATACCCCTGGGGTTAAACCTACACTGCCTTCAGGTGGTAAAACCAGGGCATCAGGAGGCACAAAGGGAGCACAGGTGAAGATGCCTGGGGCAAGAACAGGTGATTGGAATCTGGCTGTAATGAGTTATTTAACAGAGCCTACAGCTGAATGGGACTTTTTGTTGATGGGAAGAACAGACTTCTGGGTACAAGTCAAGTAAATGTCCTTATGGAAGCCAGTTCTAGGAAGAAGTATAAAGTAATGCTGAAGGGTGCTGATGTTGTGTTAAGTTTCTTGCTGAGGCTATTGATGTGCCGGGGAGGCATGGTAGCAGAGAGTTGCCTGGCCAGAAGGCAGAAGCAGTTGTGCAGTGGGAATGGTGGCAGCTGCTGCTGGGGTGTATGAAGAGGAAGGAGTAGTACTCATCTGATCTACCTGGTAAGCTTTGCATGTGGAAGGTGCAGTGTTTTACCTTGGAAAAAATGTGTGTTGGCCCACGGCTTTTACTGCGGTTGTAAAAATGAAATGTAAAGCAAGATGAGTTTATTTTCTGGTTTTATTGTTTTTAATTGTGCACTTTAAATATTGTCCAAATGTTTAAGGCTTTCAAGGTGAAGTTGAGTGTACTAATTTAATCAGCCTGTAAGATTCCTATAATGAGGAAATACTGCTGTTTGGTGTCTAAACTGGGGTGCAGGAGAACTTGTAACAACTGGGCTTTCTTGTTTTTCCCTCTTTCCCCCCCCCCCCCCCAAGATGATCCAGGGTAATCATGTTAATTTATTAATTATATATTGCTTGTACCAGAGGTGATCTAGGACTTATGCCTTGTGGAAAAAGGCCTAGAAGTGGAAAGCTCTCAGATGTGTGTCTGTAGGTCACTCTGGTGATACTAGTGCAGTTCTGACATTAGTAATTTAATAGTGGAAGTAATGGGTTAAGTAGGAAAACATTCTGGTATTAGAAACAAGGTAACGGAGTTTTTTGTATCTCTGAGTACTTAGGAGTTTAAACTGAGCATGTTACCCTGACAAGGTAGTGTTCTGTGGCTTCTCACCACCTTAAGTCTCACCCACATGCGGAAGTATTTTGGGGAGGGTAGGGGGATGTTTGCAATCCCGATTGCTTGCTCAGAAACACTGAACTTCAGCTCCCCTGTTTTAGGGAGAGGGAGAGAAAAAGTCAAAGGGGAGTCACTAAAATGCTTGCAGTTGCACTCAACTACCACAAGGGCACATCTTGAGTGGCAACAGACTCTTCACACTGATCTGTGGAGACACATGAATGTTTTCCCTAAAAATGTCGGTTGTGCTCCTGGAAGAGAGAGAGAGAGGCTAGTTCCAGAGGAAGTGTAACCACCTGAACCACTGCAGCACTTGGTAAACTTGAGGCATTTACGAGCAAACAGTGTTTCAACCACACACAGAAGACTTAATATTGCTGAATGTAAGCCTCAGATAAGGAAATTACAGGGAGTTGCTCTGAGGCTTGTAGAAAATCTCTCACCTGCACGTACTAGTGTACCTTTTTCTATGTAATGTCAGAAACCCAGTGTTGCTAGAACTTCGTGGAGCATGTGCAAAGATTCAGCGGAGAGGTTGCTGCCGGCATCCGGTCCTTTCACTTACCTGGTTATGCCTATAGCAAACCCAGCACCTTAACAGCTAACTGCCTTGCATCATTATAAATGATGAGATTCCAAGTCTTTCTTAACATTGTGGAAATGCTAGGGTATTTTTAAAAATGTGGGCAGGATAAACTTCATAGGTTAAGACTTGTGGACCTGGAACACCTTAACCTTGAAACCACTTGTTTCAAGTAGAGTTTTATCTGAAGGTTATTACCTGTAAGCAAACCTTGGACTGTGATGAAATATGTTCAAAGCAAAGCATGCATTTGTTCAACATTCTCAGTTTGTATATTCACATATAAACACCTTCTACATGTGTTGTTACAGTATATTTACCTCTGGGTAGAGATGCAAACAGTAAGCAGGCAACCATCCAGAGAGCAGTCTCCCTAATAAAGTGAGAGAGAGAAATTCCAAATGCTTTGTTAGAATGCCAAAGCAAAGATCAAAGTCCTTTTCTCTGGCATAATTTAGGCCCTGCTTCACAGCTCCCTCATCTGTGAAGGGAACTTGGATATGAAACTGAGATGGGTTAGAAACCCCATCTTATTTCGTTATCTAGTCTGGTGTGGATTGTATCTCTTAGCTGTAGATCTGAGGTTTCTCAATGGTGGTAACAGGATGGCACTTCAGTCGCAAACACCCATACTTCCTGCTTGTGTTCTCTTGTGGACAAAATTTCTTATACGTAGTCATAGTTTGCTTTAAAGATTATTTTCTCTTGGTAATTAAATGAAATTTCCTCTACCTCCAAACTTCAGCTGCTTTGCGGAGCAAGAATAACACAGCTTACCATTTCATTTTCATGCCTTCTCAGCCCTTAGGAATCCCTTCTTCTCACACACTTCACCACATGCTCCAGCTGCTCTTCTGTCTCTGCAAAAGAGTGAAAGGCTCTTAATTTTTGTTGCCACAGGCATTTCTCCAGAAGGGAATAGAGTATTTACTAGTACTTTGTTTGCTGTGATTCAGTCTGTTTTCTTTCACTCTGTGGGTATAATACAAGTAACATATTGTTACACACAGTGTATATAATATTAAGTATATATGGCAGGGTGTATATACTTTGTATTGTAAGAATGTATTCAGAGCATATTTATTTTCATGTGTAGAATGGATGTGTGTCAGAAGCTGTGTACTGACTAACCCTGAGCTTTCAGCATAGTGAAGGGATTCTTCTCCAGACGCAGCTGAGATCAATGAAGGTGCTGAAACGTAATGGGTATTGTATTTGTCAAGAGGTGTGGATGCCATTCCTCAGACTATCAAATGCCATCCAAGTTGCACATCATCTACTAGCAAAATGCAGACTAATGGCTAATAAGCCTGTAAGGAAAATACTACTTGAAAGTAGAGCTGCTTCTTTGAGGAGGCTGTTTAATCTTAGCCAAGGCCCATTTTCTGCTGTGGTAGCTCTGCGTGGGGAAGGTGCTGGTGCTGTTCTCCTGCCTACTGCTCCTGGTGCAATGGTGCTTGCTGGGCTGAGCAGGACCTGAGAGCTGGATTTCTGTGTCTCCTCCTCTCCTCATGGCCAAGCCTCAGTTACATTTCATTTACCAGCGTCTTCCCGATACTCAGTGCAAGCCATTTGCTGTCCTTGGCTTCTTTGACATTGTCGTGGTTTAACCCAACCAAACAGCTTATTCACTTACTCCCAGTGAGTGGTGCCAGGCGTTAGTCCACCCCCCCCCTTCCCCAGGGGCTGCCGCCCCCTTTCCCCGCTCCCAGAGGGATGGGGAGGAGAATCGAAGGAATGCAACTCCCACGGGCTGAGATAAGAACAGTCTAGCAACTAGTGTACAATACGAATCACCACTGCTACCACCAACGACAACAATGATAAGAGAAAACAGCACAGGAAAGGAGTACAATACCACGCGCCGAACCACCAGTCCGACCCGGCCGACCCCCTCTCCTTCCGGGTCCCTCCCAGTTCCCCCCTCGGCATGACGTGCTGTGGTATTGTACATCATTTTTATCAGCTTTGTTCCCAGCCCGAAAGTCAAAACACAGCACTGCACCAGCTACCAAGAAGGAGAAAAAATGACTGCTGCTGCTAAACCCAGGACAGACATTAAAACCAACATGTCCTGCATGTTTTTACTTAATTTCCTCTGTGGCTGCCTACCTCCCCATTGTAATGTTTATTGTTTCAAGCAAAGGTATAAGCTGATGCAATTTATCTGTATGTTTTCTTCCTTCCTGCCATTTTGTAAATGGAACTGTGGCTATACCCACTCTCTCTGTAGGTAGAGTGCTATGATATTTCCCTATGCAGAAAGAACTACAAATTTGGTAGATGTGGCCAGCTAACAGGTCTGTGTAAAGGCATAATAACAGCAGGCAGGCATGACCTGAAAATCAGAGCTCCTAGAAGCGATGTCATTCTTCTGAAGAGTCAGTCATTTTCTGACAGTTTTGATTCTGACTCAAGAACTACATAAGGTCATTGTTCCAGCCAAGCTTGTTTGTGTCTCCAGCTTTGGCTGGCTTACTCCCACAGAGTCCCTGTGAGGCTTCTGATTCTTGCAAATGCCTGTACAAAAGCCTTGGATGGAGGGGAAGTGGAATCAGAGCTGAAATACTAAACTGCATCTGAATTGCATATGAATGTTGAGCTCTCTTGCCAGCCACCTGCTTTTGTTACTTTGCTACTGAAGTTTAAGCTTGTGCATAAAAAAGGAGCAAGGTCGGTCTTGTTTTAGGAGGCAGCATCTAACTGCAGGAGTGTTTCAGATTTGTCTAGCTGGGGCACGTGACCTTTCATTTAGCTTACTCAAATGCTGTTTAGTTGAAAGAACTTTATTTTTTCCTCTGGATTGAGAGGATTTTGCTTGGAACAGAAATGTTTACACTGAGCCTTTGGAAGGATTGTTCTTGGTACAGTAAATCAGACATCTGTTCCCATCTGTGCAATTCAGATGGGGTAAGATGTTTCAGTCACCGCGTGGATCAGCATTTAAAATATTTTATATTTGACATCACTTTTTTTTCCTCTTTTTTTTTTTTTTTAAGGTGCTGGTTTAAATAAAATGTAAGTTTAGGAAGCTAACAAGTAATTTTTTTCTTTGAACTTTTTCAGATGTAAAATTTGATCTGCCTACTGTCCATTATAATCTGACAAAGGAATTATTTAAGACTTTTCAGAGATTAAATCAATTAACTGAATAAGGCTTTGCTATGAAGAATCACTTCCTGAAGAACTAAAATACTAGCTACTAACTCTTTAACACACTAACCCACCTGAAATAATGAAGGCATGTGATGTAATTAAACTGCCTGATGAAATGCCAAAACTCTGAACTTCTTGGCAATGTCTCTGTCATTCAGCTTTTGTCATGCATGAGGTTATTTCCTAAACAAGTTAGCTCAGCCTGCAATGCAAGTTAATCAAGTAGGCAAGTAACCAAATGGTCCCAGTGCCTGTAGAATAGCAGTACTTTGTGTCCCAAAGTAAATTGACTCTAGTTATTTCTTTTCAGTGCATGAGGGGTGGGGATGAGAGGGCCTAAATACTGCTCTTGAAGGCTTTGTGCTCTTAGAGCACTAAAATTCTCCCTTTAAAGTGAGTTTAAAAAGTGGTACTTTTTGCAAATGTTCTGTTAACCTTGGAAATAGTGTTGCTATGGTATATTAAAGATATTCCCCTGTGAACAGCTCTCCTGGTTAGGACAGCTGGGGTGGCAGGGGGGGAAAATGCTGTGGGTAGAGATGCTTTGCATGAGCCAGGGGTCTGTGTTGTGTGCAGATGGTTCCTTGGTGTGTTTTGTTTTGTTTTGTTTTTTTTCTTGCCATAAACCTTGCTCAGAATTCTGTGGGCATCTGGAGGATGATCAGGGCAGCAGTTCTGGTAGCTGAGCAGCCTTGTTATAGGACTAGAAAACCCAGCTAGTTTCAGTGATCAGTCCATCAATGGCTTGTAACCACAGTGCACCTGTATACTTTCACAGAATCATAGAATAGTTAGGGTTGGAAAGGACCTTAAGATGATCTAGTTCCAACCCCCCCTGCAAAAGTGTTGGATTTAGGACAGAAAAGACCTGGGAACTGATAATCTAGGGAAGGATTGCGAGATGCTGTTATGGGATGATGGCTTGAAGTAGGGTGCTGGCTGAGGCATGGAGGGAGATGCTGAGCTGGAACCCTTTTGACACAGAAGAGGTACTTCTGTGTGGTGGACACAAAGTGTGGCACTGATTTAAGTTGTGAACTAAGTGGATGTGACAATCTGGATGTTATGTTGAAGTGACTGATAGGCTTGCCAACTCTTCTGCTTCATTTGCCAACCTCCACCACTGGCTGAATAACAGGTAATGTAGCCTGGTACTGACTGAATAGCGATACAAGCTGGAACAGGCACAATTTGCAGAAAATGCCAGTAATTCTGAGAGGATTAGCCAAAATCACTTAACAGATGAATGAGGGCCACTGCCAAGAAGGAAATTGCTTATTTAACATCTGGCAAAGCTTTGTAGTTTAGTAACTGATGTAATTTTTCCAAGTGTTGTTCCCCCCTTACCTGCGCAATGCCTTTGGCTTCTCAGAAGATACTTATGAGAGCTGACTTGTTACTGGTGCTTGTAGGAGGATAGGAGAACATTTCTCCCTGACTTTGTGAAATCCTGAAAGCACCCCAGGAGAGAAGTGTTGCCTGTAACCACACAGTCCTTTTACCTTTAGGCAAAAGCTAATTGCAAGCTAATGAGTGATCTCGTAAGTGGAAATTATGGTCTGGTTTCTTAGAGAAAGTTCTTATGATGCAACAGTCTGTACTGAAATTGGGTGATTGCTTCTGGTCTTATCTGAAAGCAACCTGTAAGGAAAATGAGGGATTATTGAGAGACACATCCTATAATTGGTTCAAGGAAAGTTATTTAAGAGAACTCAGTGAGGGACATGCTGGCATGTATCAAAAAATTACAGAGGCTTTCTCTTTTAGTGTTTTAGATTTTGAAATTAATTACCCTGATTTGAAAGCAATTTTCTGGGCATTTTTGAGCAGTAGCAAATAGCGTTTCCATAGTTAATAGCTGTGTGATTCGTCCCCTCAGCTCAAGGCCATAGACAGAAGTGCCCTTTGCCTCCTGGGGAGCTGTCTGGAGCTTTAGACTGCAAAATGTGCTGCGGTGGTAGCTGAATCTTGGATTGGGATCCCATCTTTAGGTGCACCTTAGCAAACCTCATGCAGTTGTGAACGTGCCTGGTCTGCTTTTCATGTTTGTTTTGGAAGAGTTTATAGCTGTTTAAAACATTCTGAAGGTGTTATTGGCTGTGCACTGGGGTGTTCTGTACTCTGTCCATGTTTCCCTCTCCCCTCCCTGTGCTCCAGCCACACCACCTATGGTGTGGAGGTGGAATGGCGGGTGGAGCGCTGTTTGGGCTTGCTTGTTTCCCTAGGCTGCTGTAACTTCCTGTATTTAAGGTTTATCATGGGACACAGTCATGCTCTGGGGACTGAAAGATTGTTATCAAATGCACATCTAATATGAAAAGTTATTGCTTCTCAAAGAAGAAAATGAGTGATGGTGTGTGCCTTCTCAGTAGAAGATTTGGGAAGGGCTTTTACCCACGCTTACTGCAAGCGCGCTGATGACTAAGAAGGCCAGTGTGGGATAGGCAAATCTGGCCACAAAAAGCACAGCAGAAGGTCTCCTTGGGTGGAACAGGTGGGGTGCGATTCTTCCTGCGTTGTCTTTTCTCCTCGAGACTAGTTCTTTGTGAGCTCTCAAAGGAGTCAGCGGCATTATGTATGGTGTGCCTCCACGTCTCCCGATTGGAGGCCAAGGTGGACCACTGATGGTAGTCAGTATGGCCAAGGCTAAGGTATTGTTTCAGGGAGTCCTTATATCTCTTCTTTGGGGCACCGC